TCACGAGCATTCATGTTCATGCTACCAGCAAACATGCGAACGAAACAGATCTTATCGAAATTTTATTACTATGATACCAGTTGAATAGTGATCAAATAGCATAGAAAAATAGAGCGAAAGATGCTCTATGTGTTCATAAAAAAAGAATTTTTTTTAAAGCTTTCTGTAAGAAAATAAAGTACCTCCGCCACTACTTTTGAACTACCCTAAGTATTGTCGTTCTCGAGATATTTCTCCTACGCCAACCCACATTTAATTCTGGCACTGACAATAGTTCACGCTGCATTGGAACTATCGCAGACATACAAGTGAGTTATAATGTCAAATGCAACAATTAACAATCAATTCGTGATTTTTACCAGATGAATAAATCTGAATAGACGTGAGTAAACATGAAATATGGCTTGAGAGACGTTAACACAACATATGTCACAAGTTCTTGGTCTATATTCTACGTTTGTACATATGTGTTGAATATCATCAATAGACATCTGAAGTATAAAATGACGAATGTAAATTTTTATACTTATGTGAACGACAAAGGTATGATAATAAAAATAAAGAAGTCTTTCTGTTTCTAAATAAAATTTTTTATATCTTGTCAATAGTCAAATGTGACCATGCGATCACTATCATTTTGTTCTTTTTTCTCTTTTCTTCTTTCGTTTTCTCATGAGAATGGAACGTGAGAGAAAAAGAAAAGAAATAGGGCGGACACGACTTTTTTGTCTTGCTCATAATTCACCACCTATGCCATTATTGATGATCAATGATAACAGCTCATAATGAATCCGTAGAATAATTTAGCTATATCCGCACATGTACAATGAGATATATGCTAATTGAATTTATCTTAATGTATGTAAGTGCCCCCATGATAGCTTAATTAAAATTGACTTTTAATTATTCCCCGACGAGAGAAATGTTAATGAAGATTCTCTCCCCTACTCACAAAAACGGCTTTTGTGGATATAAAAATAGATAATTTTCAACCAATCAATAATTCAATCTCTTGAATCAGATAATACTCATTTTCTTTTATGTTTCAGATTAATTTCAATGAGATATCAAGACAAATAAATGAGAAAAATGTTAGTGTTACTTTGAGTTCTTCTTCTGTTTTTTCCATGAAACCACAAGGATGGTGAGACAGATCTTCTTTGATCTTTTTTAATTGTTTTTTCTTTTTAGTTTTTTTCTGAGCAGTAATGAATTTTTTTATTTAAACTTTTTTGTAGTCAGTGTAGATACGATTTACAAATATCAAGGTACGATTATTTTTAGCTTTTATTTTAGTTTCTTTTTATTTTAGATAAAATTTTTCGTGCGATTTTTTTAAATCGATTTTAGTTGTTCAACTGCACCTGAAAAGATTGCAAGTGGATGCGTCCTTCTTTTCTTTCGGAACGTTTTTTATTGATTGAATGTTTTTCTTTTTCTTGTAGTAAATAATGTCATCCCTTCGCCCATTGGTAGATGAGTGAATTCCTTCTTTTTTAAGATAGAGATTAGGACCGAGAGGAAAATGATGAGATTAGAGAAAGACTAAATGAGTGCCAGAAGCCTTGTTAGAGACAGGTGGAATGAGTTAGTACCTTTCACGTCTCTGTTCAATTGACGACCTTTCTAGTAGGCCCTAAAAGCTCGGCCAAGAACTATCTTCGTGTCCGTGGCACACAGCCGGCATTATCAGACTCATATACATGTCATGTGTATATGAGTCTACCTGGACGGGAACAGAATAGGAATGAAATTCATTTCTTCTATTGACTTGCCTTTTTTTTTAATGCAACGTCATTTATTTGTAAGAAAGGAATAAAAATTAATCACAATAAGGAAGTTAATTCCTTAGAAAATCGTTGAACCCGATGATTCCAATTATCAGAGACATATAGATTGTTATGTCGATCGAAGAACAAACCCCAGGGACCGCACAGCTGGTTTGTTCCTACTCCTCGGCTATTTCCATCCACGATGACAGTGCCCTGTTTAGCTCCTTTAGGCCAACACATCACACGATCATTTCCATAATCTGCTACATAGACGCTATCCGACGTATCAACGAATAGACCATAAGGATACGACAATTGTGTCAAGCGCTCTCCTGTATCTTGACCTCCAGCGACAATAACTCCTTCTTTTGAACCTTTATCCCATTTCATCACACGATGATTCTTTCTGTCTGACACGTAGACAGCTTGTTCTCGATCGACAAAGACATAGGTCGGCTCATTGAGTTGATTAAGACCAGTACCTTTACCATGACCACCAGCTACAACGGTTCCATTTTTATTTCCTATTCGATATCGTCTCACTTCGTGTTTTTCGATGTCAGAAATGTAGAGATATCTTTGATCGTCCATGGTAACTCCAAAACAATCGATCTTGTCAAAGAGAATTTCTCCTTGATTTATGCCACTACAGCGACACCATTGTACGACTCGTCGATTCTGCCGATCACAAATAATGAGACTATTCGTCTCTACGTCGATCAATACGTCAGTTGGATATTTTAATTGATACAATCGATTTCCTTCGCCATGACCGCCGGCTACCACTTTTCCATTCGTATCACCTATATTCCATTGGACGATGCGATGATTCAGCGAGTCGGCGATGACCATCGTTTGATCATCGTTAATGAAGAGGCCCCAAGGACCGCAAAGTTGATAGGTGGCACTACCGTGTCCGTGGCCTCCTGCAACAGTCACCCCATTCTGCGCCCATCTAGCAATGACTGAAATATCGACAGCCATTACAATGAACAAAAAAAAAGAAAGGAATGATCGCCATTAGAGGTGACCCTTTATCTTTACTATCCTTTAAAATAAAGGATTTTTTTGCGAGTGATAATGATGTTAAAAATGTTCTAGGATCATAGAAATTATGTTCCAAGAAAAAACGTTTATCATGAAATAAATGTATTTGTATTGAAAACAAACTAGTTGAGACATAATCAAAACTTTTGCTTTTTTTCTAATATTTAACAGATTTCTATCTCGAAAATGAAAATTGAACCAAAACCAATATCATATTCAGAATCAGCGTCAAAAACGGATCTGACTTATGAGTATTAGAAATATTTTTGAGATCTTTTTTTTTCATTGAAAAATTCACCTGTACTCTCCTTTAGGATAGCTGGGCCAAAAAATGAAATTCACGAAAACGCTGCTTTTATTGTTTGAACATTCTTCAGTTTGCGTTCTACTATCATTTTACAACTTTAGAGCTTGTTTGCTATTGTTGAAACCTCTCTTTGGTAAAATTCATTTTTTGCCCCAGCTATCCTGAGGGGGAGTACAGGGGAATTTTTCAAGAAAACATAGATCTCAAAAATATTTCTAATACTCATAAGTCAGATCCATTTTTGACGCTGATTCTGAATATCATCTTGGTTTTGGTTCAATTTTCATTTTCGAGATAGAAATCTGTTAAATATTAGAAAAAAAGAGAGTTTTGATTGTCTCAACTAGCTTGTTTTCAATACAAATATATTTATTTCATGATAAATGTTTTTTTTGGAACATAATTTCTATAATCCTAGAACATTTTTAACATCATTATCACTCGCAAAAGAATCCTTTATTTCTTTTCTTTATCTTTATTTTATGAAGTAATAGTAAGGCACTGTGACGTTCTATGCGGAGAGTGTCCAAGCTCCATCCGGGAGTGTAACACTCGCGTTTGAGTGCATTGTATGCATGATGTTTATCCTTTTCTTACGATTTCTTTTCATCTTATGTATTGTCCTTATCTTTCTGTCCTTACTTCGTACAATATGTTATACTTCGTTCCTATCTTATTTCTCTTACTTTCTGTTCTTTCCTTCCATATTCTTCTCTTCTCTCTGATGGTCGAGTATCTAAGCGTTTGCTTTGTATGTAAACGATGCGATTATTGATATGAAGAAGCTAGATAAAGCATAATTCCATCCATACAAGCATCTCTTGTATCAAAAATCGTCACAGGTATTCCAAGAGTTGCAAGGAAATCACAGAACTTACAGATCCCAAGAAACATAAGGAAACAAAGATTTCAATGAGGCCAAGGAACTTAGCAAACCGAACCATTTGAAATTACTCAAGGAGCCTGAAAACTCTGAGAGTGTATGGCTGTTAGTGCTAGGTGTGAATACGAGATCCAAACCCATCCACGCCATCACCTCACACCGACATAGCCGCACTCACACTCACCTTTCATAGAAAATCGTTGAACGCGATGATTCCATTTCTCGGCAACATAGAAATTGCCGTGCCGATCGAAGGACAAACCAATAGGAAGATGCAACTGGCCTTTTCCACCCATAATGACAGTACCCTGTTTTGCTCCTTTAGGCCAACGCATCACTCGATGATTCCATGAGTCTACCACATAGACGGTACCAAATGTATCGACGAATAGTCCGTTAGGACACGATAATTGTGCCAGAGAGTTGCCCTTCCCTTGACCTCCAGCAACAATAATTCCTTCTTTAGCATCTTTATCCCATTTCATCACACGATGATTGTTCCATTCGGATACGTAGACAGCCTGTTCTCGATCGACAAAAACATAGGTGGGTTCGTTGAGTTGATTAAGGCCAGTACCTTTACCATGACCACCAGCTACAACAGTTCCATTTTTATCTCCTATTTGATATCGTCTCACTTCGTGTTTTTCGATGTCGGAAATGTAGAGATATCTTTGATCATCCATGGCCAATCCTCGGCAACAAATGTTGTTGAGGAGGATTTCTCCTTGAATTGTGCCACTAAGGCGAGACCATTGTACGACTCGTCGATTCCCTTCATCACAAATAATGAGACTATTCGTCTCTATGTCAATCAACACATCTGTTGGATATTTCAATTGATACAATCGATTTCCTTCACCATGACCACCGGCTACTACTTTTCCATTCGTATCACCTACATTCCATTGGACGATGCGATGATTCAATGAGTCGGCGATGACGATCGTTTGATCATCATCAATGAAGAGGCCTTCAGGCCAGTAGACTTGATTGTTGGTACGATCACGCCCCTGTTCTCCAGTAATAATCGTTCCATTCTGTATCCATTCGGCATTGATTGGAATCTTGGGAATTACTACAATGAACGAAGAACAATAGAAACCGTCATAGTTCTTGTCGAAGAGATGCCACCTGTCCTGGGAAAATACAACGAATCAGACATTCTTCTTTGAGAATACTTGGTATAGCTTTCGAGAAGATCCTTCTCTAACATACTCTAAAGAAGAAAAATTTTCCCACCCCATCGATTCAAAGTTGGAAACCTACACCTAGTGTTCTAAAACAAAGGACTTCGTACCAGTGCTTACATCCATGTCATTTCTTCAATCTCAAACTTGTTCATTCTTGGAAACTACTCGTAGTAGAATTTAATACCATCCGTGTTTTCAAGGGCTGATTTAGGTTGTTGTCAAGATCTTTTAGGCGCTAAAGAATAGAATCTTCGCCGAGGCTGAACACTTCACATTGAGAATGCCATGACAAGGTTGTCTATGAATAAGCAATGCTAGTTCTATACAGGCTAATGATAGAAAAACATCCGGATCTGAGAATTTTATTCCTAATACCGAAGGCAGAATCTTACAAAGATTATCAAGAAAAGTATTAGAAAGCTCAACTCCTTGCAGGATTTACATGAACAGCAGACAAGAATTTAAGGAATAAAATGATGATGGTATGGGTGTCGATGCCGGTGTGTATTACTCTTCTCATTGATCTACATTCACATCCACACCTTTACCAGATTCACTTGTTGATAGTAGTAGGGAAGCCCAAAGAATTCTATGAATTCCAAGAACTGGAGAAGGAAATGTAATGAGCAGAATCTTAGAAAATTGATGGGCTGCACAAATAATTGAAACTGAATAAAGTGAAGTAGTTTAGAGATTTCAAGCATATTAACGAAGTCTATGAACTCATTGAAATCGAGCAGATTATGAAACTCAAGAATGCGTATGTAGACAACAAGTTGTAGAAATTGAGAGAAATAGAGAAAGCTGTCAAACTCCACATGAACTATACTAATAACATGATTGTAACAGATCTAAGTCTCTGATAGCGCTCAGATGATCAATCAAATTGGAAGTAGTATGGTAACAGAAGGAACTCAAAATGAATCAAAAGATTTTGCAGTAAGCTCTTTTCTGTTTGTATTTTAAGTTTATACAGATTTGAGTTGCCCATCACATGTATATTTACTCCGCTATTAAAATCTAGACGGAACGGAGTTGAATACGGAACAGATGCTGTTAGACGCCAACCAACAATTAAATCTATGTACACTTTTATATGTAACATATGAGTATCGCTTCGCGGTACAGGGACGCTTAAAAATTAATGTAATCCATCGATATACGTACGGTGATTTCTAGTCATGGATTATTCTGTTCTAGGCTCTTCCACTGCACAATAAAAGCAGTAACTATAAGTAACAACACTTGTTCTATTTACATGACTTCAAGAAAGGTTGATCATCACGTAATGCTGGCGATAAAGCACCACCAGTCTATGAGAACAAGATAGTTTTTTCTACAAATAATCCAAGATCCGTTTCTTAATGGAGTGGCGATTACAAGAATTCTTTTAACCCTCACTCTCGAACAGATCTTATATGTGCAGTCGTCGTTTAATGAAAAAACGATTGTACCCACTCTAGTGTCATCCAGATAGTAAATGAAAACAAGCATCTTATTCATTATCGTATGAAGATAGAATGATCGCAAAATAATGTTTTGTTCCTAATGTTTACTCGAAGTTTAATCAGATTATGAGCTTCTAATAATTCCATTCTAAAATAATTTTTTTTTGTTACATTTTTTTGGAGTGGAAGAGACTGATATTCATAGCACATATACTACATATCTAGGTTTACTCTATGCTAGAGTTTGAGCTAATTACCTATGGTTATTACAGAAATGTGAGTGATGTTGAATTTATGGAAACTTTTCAATAATTTTTGAAAATAACGGGTGACGCATCAACAACTATAGTGCTAGCATTTCCAACTTTTCTTCTGTTTTGTGCACTCAATCAAAATATCTTTTTTTAGTTAGAAGATTTGGCATCAAATTCTCTACAAATCCATGCGTAGTTTGATTTGAAGATTGATGTAAATGTAGTTAAAAAAGATGGAAGATAAAACCATTCAAAAAGATGTAAACATTTAGTATGGGCTTGGCAATGAATTGATGAATATATTTTAAAATTTATATGAGGCTATTTCATGACTAACAATTCACTTGAGAATATGAGTCCTCAATGATACTGTCTTCTTCAAACTATATTTCTTATCCGCTTTCTGACGGTTGTTGGCCTATAAACGATCTTCCTTGGAAGTAATAAGTAATTAAGCAAAACACTTTTACCCAAAAAAAGGCCGTTTTTCATATTATCTTCGATAAAATTATTGAAAACCCAGTCTTTAAATTGAATCCACTCGTTATCAGTTAATCAAATTTTCGGAAATCCTTGACTTTTTTCTATGCGACATAGCCAAGATCGACCTGCAATATTCACTGAACAGTTCTTCGCAAGTTTTCATTTTTATTGTCTTTATTCTTGTCGTCAACTATTTATTTCCATTAGTGTTATTTTGCCTTTTAAATGTTGGCTTCTATTCGAATCATGTAGATACAACCTGGAGAATTACAGACATTGATAGTGCCGGTTTCATTCAGGGCTCATTTCCATAAGTGAATCCTTAGTCATGAAATATATCTACTTAACTCTCGAGATATTTTCGTCAATCCATCGTAAAAACTCATACTTAGTGTTTATAATTGTTGGCATGTTTTCATTTTCGATAGTAATCTCATTCGTTGAAAACTATTTGGTCGAAATGAAATATTGTTAACAGCTCTTTTGTCGGAAACGGTTCATGAAGAAAGTATCGATATTTCACAGTAAGAACTTTATTTGAGGATCTGGATTGATGAGTACAGGTGGGAGAGTACTAGGTTGATGCGTTGCACGCAATGCTACCCGCAGAATATTTTGTACGGAAGAGGGTAATAGTGTAGATAGGTGTGATCTATTGTGGCGAGGCATGAGTCAGTGTGACTCAGTGTGAGAAGTTCTCACTCATGCGTAGACACCTGTAGGAAACTGAATGCATCAATGGGCACTGTGGGCGGATGTGGTTGGGCACCGCTGAGCCAGTGTGGATAGACACCGGTGGATGTCGGTGGGCAATGCGGCCCACCATTGGCCGGTACTTCCAACAGGTAGTCACAGGCATTCGTCTTCATTCATCCAGCGCTTCCTACTGATATGCACCAATGCCTACAAGTACTCAAAGGAGGCCACTAACTCCCTTCCACCAGTACCCATCGATGCTATGAGGGACCATCATTATTCTTGAGTGCCTAGATGTATTCTTCGGCGCCCTCATGTGCATACAGGCGCTTTCAGACGCCTATAGGCACTCTCAGATCCCTAAAGACACCCACTTTCACTTTCATGGACAATGCGCATTGAGAAACTGACATTAGGTTTGTAGGGTATGTTGTTGATGAAATACTTGTCGACTCAAAAGTATCGACTAAATTTGTGGTCGACGAATTGTTTGTCGACCAAAACAGTCGACACAAATTTGCCCACGACATGTGTCTCAACAAAGTATAACGTCAACGAGTGATATGCAATCCTTTATTTTTCATCTGTTTTGACTACATTTACATCAATCTGCAAATGAAAGTATATATGGGTTTCTACAGAATTCGATGCCGAATCTTCTGACTAAAAAAGATATTTTGATGGAGTGCAGAAAACAGAAAGAAACCTGGAAACGCTAACACTCTAATTGTTGATACGTCACCCCCTATTTTCAAAAATTATTCAAAATTTCCATAAATTCCACATCACACACATTTCTGTGACAACCATAGGTAGAAAGGTCAACTTCTAGCATAGAGTAGATCTAGATATCTACAGTAGTGTATGTATCGTGAATGTCGGTCTCTTTCATTAGAGGTAAGTAAGAAAAGATTATTGTTTAGGAGATAAAAACGTATTAAACATCCTTTACGGAAAAGACAGCGGCTGAAAAGAAAAATAGAGCAATAGATTGAACAACAATAGATAGATATTGGATTCCACTGATTATGAACTTTTCTCCATACTCTCATATTGAATTAACCATCCTTCATCACCGTAAACAAAGAATAGAAAAGAATTACCTCGACCTTGAATGCATTTTTCAATCATTTCGATCAAATGAGAACTATTGGGTCGATCATTCGGCTGTTGTGTCCAGCATCGCTTGATAAGCTTGCGAAAACTCCACGGTATTGCGTTCGGTATCTCCAAACGATTGCCAGCAAGCACGAATGCACGTATTACCCCATCTTGCAGATCTTCGTAAGGTATTTCACTTGTAACTAGTTCCCAGTAAACCATTCCCAAACTATAAATATCACTCTTATCTGTGTAGCGTCCGGCAAGCAGTATCTCAGGAGCAGTCCACTGCAATGTGCAGATCAATGTAGGATTTGATATTGTTTGACGTGTCGTTTGGTTTCGTGTTCGAGCCAAACCAAAATCACACACTTTAACGGTGTACTCTTCATGGACTCTTTCTATTAAGACGTTCCACGGTTTTATGTCACGATGTAAGACAGGTTCTGGTAGTCGATGCAAGTAATTGATTCCGTTGGCAGTTTGAAAAGCAATTGACAACCGTTCAGACCATGTTAATATCAAATTATCTTCGTGTAATATTTTGTACAATGATCCTAGTGACATATATTCCATAACCAATGCATACTTTCCTGTTTCCGTGCATGCACCATAAAAAATGACGATGTTAGGACAACGAATGCTGTCCATTAATGCAAGCTCTTTGAAAATCTCGTTCTCGGCTCTACCAGTCAAATGAGTCAGATGCAATTTTTTGACAGCAACTGTATGGTGTCTACTTCTCCACGCAGCTCTGTATACTGTACCAAAAGCTCCAGCACCGATCTCTTCATTCAATTTGAGATCGTTGTCGGCTATTTGAATGAAGCCATGCGATTTATCTAAATATTAAAAATATATCCCAGGAACTATCGATGTCAATATCTGAGTTCATAATGAACAAGAATATTCTCTTTATCATATTATGTTGTGTGAAAAAAACAATATTTCCGACAGGGTTCACAATTTGAATATTGTTTTTTTGAAAAACCACAGGAAACTTAAAGCTCTTGTGTTTAGGCAATTTTCCAACTTAAAAAAGATCTTTTGCAACAATGAATCATCCTACAAATAATGTGTGCAGCTCTTAGATTCGATCAAAACACTCTAACACCGTAGAATGATCCAAGTGCAGTTGGAAGGTATCCACGCGTTCATTTTATTGTATAATAGTGAGGAGATCTATGAGTCTTCATTGGTCGAGTTGAAATGAAACACTGAAATCAATGTTTAGACCTTGAGAAAAACTAAAATTATGTTTTGGTCAACTCGAATACTAGTGTCTTCTTACAGTTCAACCCACAAAATTATTCAAAAGTTGAAGGTCTCTGGAGTGTTAGATCTATTGGATTTGCACCATTTGATTTATAAATATGGAAAAAAAAATAAAATGAACGAAAGAATTCAAGTATCTAGGGTACTGGATAACACTTAAACTAGGCTGGAAAAAATGATAAGAAAGTCAATGTTAAAAATAAGACAGAGATTAACATTTCTAAACTCATTTAGATTTGCTGGTAAGAAGTTCGTCAAGCTTAGAAGAGCGCTGTTTACGTCATATGCTGTCTCGTCATTCAGCTCGTTGTATCCATTTCTGCCGTTTTTTGAAAAAAACTACTGCAAAGAACTCTGCCATTGTAACTACACATGTTTAAAACGAGCGCAGTTCTGTCTAGGATTGAGTGAGTACTTCTTTTCGTACATGTTTGAGGTACTTTCTCTAATAGACAGATACGTTAGGTATTGCAATAAATATTTGATAGTGTTAACAGATTCTGTTGATGAAGAAATGCTCTTTGAACGGTCACTATTGAACGAGTTTAGACAATCATGCTTACGAGTTTCCAAAAGGTATATCGAAAAGGTTTCAGTGTTGCAGAAGAAAGTTAAGTGGATTTCTGCTAACTCCTCCCTATATTCTATCTTCCGCCATGAAATAGAAGAAATTAAACTCCTTCAAAATTTTCCAGAAGCTTTTCTCTAACGAAGGTTGTGAGGCAGGAGGAAGACAAGGAAAGGAAATTCATCGATCTTTAAATCATTTTGCAAACCGACAAAACTGACGACACAAATGTAAAAGTACTGATCACTCTATTTCTTGCTGTATCTTATGTTCTACAACT